ATGCTTTAAATGAACTTCACCAAAAGTATCAAAACAAAAACACCCGTCTTGATTAACTTTTTTTGTGTTGTTTCTAGAAAATACTGAAGCCACAATAAATGATGAACGACAGCAGATCGATTTGCTTGATCCGAATCCCGGACAAGAAAAGACAACTTAAGATAAGTATGTACAGCTCACAAACTATCAGAGGCGAGCTAAAATCAGAGGCGAGCTAAACCACAGGCTCTCAGGTTGGTTAGTTGTGTGTCAAAATAAGTTTTGAGGAGATGACAACATATGATGTAGGCAGTACTAGTTCCGCAGACAGCAGTCTGAAAAGTGCTTGTTGTCCTCTTCTCCGCTTCTGCCAGTGGTGGCTTTCAGAAGTGCCGCAGTGTAGGGACTGCCTGTAGGTTAAGTTAGCATAACGAATTTACGTTCAATATCAAATAATACATCTGCACATAACATATCCTATACCCATTTCTTCTTTCAATAAGGCAGCCTAATTAATAATTCACTTTACGCATAAAGTGCCATGGTTTGTCCAGGCCTATTAAACAATTGGACAAGTCAAGGCTGCAAATGAAGTCGACCGTTTTAGGAATACAATGTAATATTTTAGATGATTGTTGTCATTATATTTATGAAGAGGGTCTGAGAGAAACAATGGTACCACCAACTGGCTCAAGTATTAAAGGCGCTGCATGGTCAAGCCAAGGTCTACATTGGCCGTGCAGCGTTTACGGTGATATGGCCTCTGCAGAAGTCAGGGCATTCATACTTATTGCTCTTTGTGGAGCAGCACAGAGTGGTTGAACAAAGTTGTTGTCAAGGAAGTGAGTTTGTGTTCATACAGGACCTCCCGCCCCTACCTACAGTCAACCAATCATGTCAATGCTGAGCTATACTGATCCTTACATTGTTACCACATTTGGGAGGTGCATGGTGATGCTGTACAGAGCTCTGTTTGGCCTCTGCGTGCCCCCTGAGGCTCCGCCATTGCGTCACACCCTCCATATGAAGCCCCTAACCACATTTTCGGATCAAGCATTTGTTTTTAGTTGAACATGGGCAGCAGCGGTGTTGAATTTTGAAACGTGAGCGTGGACTCATTCCATAGCACAGCAGCAAACTCTTACAATTTTGGGTAAAATACAACTTTGGGTCAAATTAAACTGTCAAACAAGTAAAAATCCAATGATTGAGAGAATGTTAAGTGTGATTTTACTTTATTCCTCAAAGGTTGGGGGTCAAATGTTAGAAACAAAAATACACTGCTCAAAAAAATAAAGGGAACACTAAAATAACACATCCTAGATCTGAATGAATGAAATAATCTTATTAAATACTTTTTTCTTTACATAGTTGAATGTGCTGACAACAAAATCACACAAAAAGTATCAATGGAAATCAAATTTATCAACCCATGGTGGTCTGGATTTGGAGACACCCTCAAAATTAAAGTGGAAAACCACACTACAGGCTGATCCAAATTTGATGTAATGTCCTTAAAACAAGTCAAAATGAGGCTCAGTAGTGTGTGTGGCCTCCACGTGCCTGTATGACCTCCCTACAACGCCTGGGCATGCTCCTGATGAGGTGGCGGATGGTCTCCTGAGGGATCTCCTCCCAGACCTGGACTAAAGCATCCGCCAACTCCTGGACAGTCTGTGGTGCAACGTGGCGTTGGTGGATGGAGCAAGACATGATGTCCCAGATGTGCTCAATTGGATTCAGGTCTGGGGAACGGGCGGGCCAGTCCATAGCATCAATGCCTTCCTCTTGCAGGAACTGCTGACACACTCCAGCCACATGAGGTCTAGCATTGTCTTGCATTAGGAGGAACCCAGGGCCAACCGCACCAGCATATGGTCTCACAAGGGGTATGAGGATCTCATCTCGGTACCTAATGGCAGTCAGGCTACCTCTGGCGAGCACATGGAGGGCTGTGAGGCCCCCCAAAGAAATGCCACCCCACACCATGACTGACCCACCGCCAAACCGGTCATGCTGGAGGATGTTGCAGGCAGCAGAACGTTCTCCACGGCGTCTCCAGACTCTGTCACGTCTGTCACATGTGCTCAGTGTGAACCTGCTTTCATCTGTGAAGAGCACATGGTGCCAGTGGCGAATTTGCCAATCTTGGTGTTCTCTGGCAAATGCCAAACGACCTGCACGGTGTTGGGCTATAAGCACAACCCCCACCTGTGGACGTCGGGCCCTCATACCACCCTCATGGAGTCTGTTTCTGACCGTTTGAGCAGACACATGCACATTTGTGGCCTGCTGGAGGTCATTTTGCAGGGCTCTGGCAGTGCTCTTCCTGCTCCTCCTTGCACAAAGGCGGAGGTAGCAGTCCTGCTGCTGGATTGTTGCCCTCCTACGGCCTCCTCCACGTCTCCTGATGTACTGGCCTGTCTCCTGGTAGCGCCTCCATGCTCTGGACACTACACTGACAGACACAGCAAACCTTCTTGCCACAGCTCGCATTGATGTGCCATCCTGGATGAGCTGCACTACCTGAGCCACTTGTGTGGGTTGTAGACTCCGTCTCATGCTACCACTAGAGTGAAAGCACCGCCAGCATTCAAACGTGACCAAAACATCAGCCAGGAAGCATAGGAACTGAGAAGTGGTCTGTGGTCACCACCTGCAAAACCAGTCCTTTATTGGGGGTGTCTTGCTAATTGCCTATAATTTCCACCTGTTGTCTATTCCATTTGCACAACAGCATGTGAAATGTATGGTCAATCAGTGTTGCTTCCTAAGTGGACAGTTTGATTTCACCGAAGTGTGATTGACTTGGAGTTACATTGTGTTGTTTAAGTGTTTCCTTTATTTTTTTGAGCATGTATAATAAAAAGTTAATCAATGCAGGTTACATTCATTATCCACTGTGATTCTAGTTGCATACATACAACTTTTTAGTTTTTTGCCTTTTCAAATGAGGAATGCAACTGATATGCTTCACTTTATATTTACATATAATTCTTGCTTTCTGTACATCACAAGTTAAGTCCTTATATATTACTGAACAACAAATAAGTAATTTATGCAGGGGCGCAACTTTGGTTTTAGAAGTGGGGGGGACATAATTATTAGTACTTTTTTTATCTAGTCGGATAAACACTCCAAACAGCCTACCCGACCGCTCGGAGGCGACCGCATGGTCCTAAAGCACACCGTTGCCTTGTTTTGTATCACATTACAATTATAAAACTGGTGGGGACAAAAAAATGCAATTCCCCCCCATCCCCAGTGAAAGTTGCCCCCCTGATTGATGATAAGATTAATTATTGACTGTATGCAATTGCTTTGATTAATTAATATTCCACACTTGTTTTCCTTCATATAAGGTAGGCTATATGCAAAATCACAAACCATCCAAAAGTAAGAGACTATCTATTTCAATGATAGTAAAAAAATATATATATTTTAGTCATTCACATTTCACAAGATAAAACTCTTCCTTGAGTTTATTTCCAAACTGCAGGCCAGTGTAAAAAAAACAACTACAATATAATATATGAGAAAAGAAATGTGCTCATCAGTGCATTAAGACTTCCCATATGAAATGTTAAATATGTTTGGGTGTTTATCCTCTTCAATCATTCTCGTTATTACAGGCAGACAGTAAAGGGTTCGCTTCAGGGCTTTTAAAAGTACAGTAAGTAAACAAAATCGGTCAACTAATTGCAATACGCAAAGTAAACTCATGATTGAATAGATGGAATAAAAATGGTGTTCATTTGCAGTCAATATGAAAATCAGTTCATTCAGAGCATTTTCTGATTCCAAATCATATGCAACTCTGCTTCACCTTTCGTTATTAAAACTAAACTATCAGTAAACTTTGCCATCCAATAAATGCTTTCGCACAATGCTTTGTTTTTAGAGGATGAGCAAAAATAATAATAAAAAATAAGAATCCTGAGACATTTCACATTCAAAGAGACCAAAAAATTCTCAGTACCCAAGAAGGTGCATTTCTGATAAAGCGCAATGCCTGGACACATCATCTGACAAAAAGTGTGCCATCTTCAGAATGAAGAAGAATCATGTGCCTTCACCAGAAAGGAGAACTGAATGTATGCCTTCCTTCTCTAGAAACATAGACTTGAGACAGTTGATGACTGGCGTTGCATCACACATACAGTATAGACATCCCTTTGCATGGGATGGAGATGAGCAAAACACCTCAGATGCAAAGTTCACATCTCCAAAGTTGTATCACACTTACAGTGCAATATGACCTAGGAGTCAAAATGGTTCAGAGCTGGAAAGAATAATACTGGTCTACCTCATTGTAAGAACAATATCTGTGCAACCTGTTTAATAGCTGACCAACATTAAAGGGATAGTTCACCACCACAACATAAAAGTTGGTTAAAAACAATAAAAACAATTTGGATACAAGGGTGAAGTACCCCTTTAAATGCCTTTGCTTATTTTTCATTAGTCTTCAGGTTGTTTCAGTATGTTTTAAACTCACTAAATAAACTGACCAATTCCCAATATGGCTGCTTTGTTCAATTCCATTTTCTCAATGACAGTGAAGACTTTGGACAGATACATAAGAGGATGACCGTTTTTTTGTAAAAACCTTCTTTTAAACCAGTTATTAGATACGATGTAAACACTTTCAAAGTAATATATGGATCCATAGTGTAAAATGTATGAAATCCAACTGCAGTTCAACAAGTCTCTCATCGCAACCACTAGATTAAGAATTTGTATCTCCACTATATCTGCATAATTTTTTCCCTTTCCTTCTCCTTCCTCTCCCTAGCTGTGTTGATATGATACATGTCAAATTATCAAGAAGTGAACCTATATTTTGAGTCTGGTCCATCTATATAAAAACTGAAACTCTAAAATTGAGGATTTGAAGGCCAATAACATTGTTCACTCTTCATTACAATGTCAAAAATATAGCCAACGAGTAGACTCTTCTATTACAATTATAGAGTGTCAGAAATTAATACCACGAAGCATAGACTGATAACGAAGTGCAGTTACTGGATGTGTAGTGAACTCTTCAATGCCAAGTGCCCAGAGCTTAACTGGGGCTTATTGGTCACCAAAAGACAGGCTCAGATGTGTGGGTACTCCAAATCTACCGCTTTTTACACTTTTCTCTCAACGTCAATGGCAGCAAAGTGTTTGATATAAATAATAAAATATAACCCGTATAAATCTAGAGAATCTAGGGCTGTGTGTGTGTACACGTGGCTGGTTGTACGTGACTGTGTGTGTGTGTGTGTTTTTCTGTGTGTGTTAGTGTTTTTCAAAAGGTGGTGGGGGGGGGGGTCAAAGATGAATAGGCCTCCCCTCCCCCACCTCTTGGAAGAGCGAGGTGTAGAACTCGGGCTCCAGCTGCTTGTTGCGGTAGCGGTGCACGACGTCAGCGATCTTCTGCTTACGCCGTACATGCGGCGGGCTGTACGTCTCACTCTCCAGCCGCTTCCGCCGACACACGTTGATCACTGTCTGGCGCACCAGGAACCCTGGGAGAAAACAGTGAGAAGAAATTGACATCATGAGCCAAAAACTTAAGTGAAATGGGAGCAGAATTTAGATGGCAAAACCGTTAACTGCCAGCATCTGTCAGCATTCAGTTGACTTCAGTTTATTTAGTAAATAAACCTTTGATAAAAAATATGAAAATCTGATAACTGCAACAGAGGAGACATGAGGGCAAATGGGTAGAATGCAGCATAACATAAATTACTATAAGTCAGAAAGACAGTAGAATTTCTTCTAGATACAGAAAGACAGGGGTCGAGAGAGAGAGTGGTCACCTAGTGCTCTGTGACTGACCACTATGCCGTCCACCAGGGGGATGACCATGCTGAACTTGCCCATGGCCCCGTGGAGCCTGACCCGGAACAAACCCGTCCTCAGGGGGTGGATGAAAATCAGGGGCACGTCCTTCTCCAGGAGCCTCCTGGGGAGGAAGAGAGGAAGGGGGAAGAGAAAATTGGCATTCTATTCAACAGCAAATATGTGTTGCAGTGGATTTTAGGGTGTCATAACTGAATGTCCACAGTGGTAACCTACCAATTTATTTATTTTTCCTTCACTTTTAACCCTTTCCTATTTAACATTGGTTAAAAATATTCCTTACTGCTGAAATGATCATATCTATACTGATGACCTATTATAGGTGTTAATTAGAAATAACTAAGAAGGATATAACTGTCAAGAGAAAGGCATCCCGTTTAAATACTTGCTTGGACATCTCTGGCTCTACATGACTCCTTTCACTATAACGGACAGCCCTGTTTGGTGTGTGTACAGCCTGGCTATGAGCCAGAGGGTTAGTGTTTGGTTGGGCGTGGGCCTCAGTACCTGCAGGAAGTGCTGTTGTTAGGGTTCACCTCCAAACCTGTGCTGGTTTCCGCCAAGAGATCAGACAGAGGGAAGTTCTAGAGAAAAACAACAGGGCAATTTGAAGGAAACACCTTCAACAGTCTCACTTTGGTTTCTCGCTTTTGTTAGGCAGGTACTGCTAACGGAACAGTAAAAAAAAAAAAAAAATGGGTGGTCTCATGCAAAATCATGACAGCAACGACACAGAGCTAGGTCAGAGGGTGAAAGTGTTATAAAGGAACTGTTTATTCCAAGGTTGTTTACCGATGTCATCGTAGCGCTCCACCCAGACCACAAGCACCTTGGTTTCAGGCCCCGGGGGAGGAGCAGTCTTTCCTGTAGATGATCTCTTGGTCTTCACCATAGGACTCTGCAAGAGGAGAGAAGAGATCAGAGAGAGATGTCAATAGACCAGGCATAGAAGTGTCCAGAGATACCCTGAGGATGAATATTTTTCTCAAACAAATTCTTGAAATTAAGTTTGACTATATAAAATGTTCAAAGAATTTCAAACTTAAGTAACATTAAAGGTGCAATCTGGGATTCAAACAACAACAAACCCAAACGCAGACACCTTTTTTGATAAACAGCTGAGTAATGGGGTTGGAGAAATGTAACCACTCTAAAATTCATAGACAGAGAGGTGGATACAAGGACTGATTCATCCATGAGATCAAAGGGATCTGAGAAAATGACCATACCAAAACAACCCTTTGTTGAATCAAAACTGTCTTCATGTAGGATTGTCGGTTAGTTACCCTTTGGGAAGCTGATAGGTTGTCTGAGTAATTGTGGAAGAGCTCCAGTGTTAGGTTGGGTTGCTTCAGTAAACTAGGCAGGTCGTCTGCGTGTGTGTCCGCCTCCACTTTCGAGGCGCTGTGCACCGAGGAATCCTCTGCAAATAAAAAAGGGCCATAAGCCATCCAGGGATAGGCAAAACTATGTCTTCAAATAGGTTGTATTAAAGAGACATTACACTCAACACTTTGTCAGATGTTTTACACGTCAAAAGTGATCCATTGAGATAAGGGCGGCAGGTAGCTTAGTGATTAAGAGCGTTGTGCCAGTAACCGAAAGGTCGCTGGTTCTAATCCCCGAGCCGACTAGGTGAAAAATCTGTCGATGTGCCCTTGAGCAAGGCACTTAACCCTAATTGCTCCTGTAAGTCGCTCTGGATAAGAGCGTCTGCTAAATTCCTAATTATTATATATATAATTATAAGACCACGTACCAGGCCATCTGTTCAGTAGTTAATGAATGGGAAAGATAAGACGTGGATTCATCTTGACAGACTACTTTCGAGGTCCGGAAACATCTGGCAAACTTAAATTTTGGAGAATAATGTCCCTTTAAGACAAAATAAAATAACAGTTTAATACAACCTACAAGTATTTGTAAATGCTGACCTGAGGAGTCTGTCAGTGATGGAACTACAAAGGCGATTTCAGTCAGAGCATCGGCGTAGTACAGCACCTTCTTTTCCCCGTTGAACACAGAACCACCTGTATCCTCCGGTGTCGCTGCCTCCCCTGTGGGGACAGAGCAAATATGGAAGTATTAACCATTCACCTTCTCTGAGATATAGGCTCTGTTCCAACACCATCTTACTACTTAGTATGATGCAATCTAAGTGGTATACTAGTATGGATATTGCAAGAATGTACATTATTTCTAGGCTATGCCCTGACACATCAGGACATCTTTTGGCATCTAGAGCTAGTGCCCCAGCTTTAGCTCGGTGAGCTAAGACCTTCTTCGGTAGTGGGGGTGTCAAGCGGACAATCTGGACTCAATCTTCACTTTTAACCCTTTCCCGAGACTTATGGACACATTTTGGCTTCCAGAGCTATCCCACTGCCTTTTTTTCAGCGAGCTAACACGTTCTTCTGGTGGTGGGTGTGTTAGACAAATAGCCTGAGTTTCTGTAACATGTTAGTTCTTGTAAGCCTGGGTTTCTAGCAGACTCACCTGTCTGCTGTGTGTCGTTGCCGCTGCTGCAGGAGTTCAGGGACCAGCTTGTATCCAGGTGTCCGGTCCAGCCCGGGTGGCGGCCCACGTCCACGGGCCAGCCCGGAGACAGCAGGAACTCCAGGAAGTAGGGCTGGACGATGGACGACACCTCCACGTTCCTCAGGATCTAACCATCACAATGCATCACATCACACAGTGTATCAGGATCTAGCCTACCAATCACAATTACTATCACAATCAATCTATCAATCACAACGGATCCCACAGTGAGACCATAATATAAACGTCAAGGGTGAGAGCAGGGATGGTAACACCAAAGGTTCTGGTGTGTGCAGGCACTGACATGGCTCATTCAAATAATAATTCAATGTGTAGTGTGTGCCTGTTTTTCAATTCAGCACGATTCCTTAAGTCGTGTGTTTCAGACGACCACACAGTGTAAACTGGCTTAACACCAATCAATGTGAAAAAAAAAAAGTTCTCACCTCGTGGCTTGTTTTCTGTCCCGCCTTCACATAGAACACAAAGACTGTGTCAAAAGGCCGGCATGGCAACAGGTCCAAGTAGGCGATGTCATCGAAGAACCCTGGCATGGAGGACTCCAGTCCAATGAGGTGAGGAGGTAGACGACTGTTGCCCCGTTCCTGAGGAAGAGAGTACTCTAAGAAAGAGACCTGGGTACAACAGATTTGAGGCCCCTTTTCAATCAAACCCCAAAACCAAAATGACAACACAAATTGATCATGTTTATTGCCTGTCTGCATGATAGTAGATGAATGCAAGATGGCAACTGCTGTCAGAAGGCTAGGCAGAGAATCGTATACCTGATTCTCATAGGTTTGCGGAATGTTGCCTGAAAAAACAATTGGGTAATGTTTATATGGTCCCCTTTCAAACAGCCACATTTTTGCCGGCATTCACCATTTATATAGCCATTGCTTAGCTGCAACTGAGCTAGGGTTGGGTGATGAAAGGTATGATAATAATATAGGACGTAACAAACATATCATACAAAATGGATGACACCGTACACAATTGGATGAAGTAGTTGCAAAAAACCAGGGACCCGTTTTGATCGTGAGCAACACTTTCAAAACTACTGGCTGAAATTATACAAAAGCATCACTATAATTTACAGAGCATTCAGAAAGTATTCAGACCCCTTCACTTTTTCCACATTTTGTTACGTTACAGCCTTATTCTAAAATTGATTAAATTCATTTTCATCCTCATCAATCTACACACAATTACCCATAATGACAAAGTGAAAACAGGTTTTTAGAAATTTTAGCAAATGTATTTAAAAAAACAGAAATACCTTATTTACATAAGTATTCAGACCCTTTGCTAGGTGATTCGAAATTGAGCTCAGGTGCATCCTGTTTCCATTGGTCATCCTTGAGATGTTTCTACAACTTGGAGTCCACCTGTGGTAAATTCAATTGATTGGACATGATTTGGAAAGGCACAGTGCATGTTAGAGCAAAAACATTTACATTTACATTTTAGTCGTTTAGCAGACGCTCTTATCCAGAGCGACTTACAGTTAGTGAGTGCATTCATAATTTTTTTTTTTTTCATACTGGCCCCCCGTGGGAATCGAACCCACAATCCTGGCATTGCAAACGCCATGCTCTACCAACTGAGCTACATCCCTGCCGGCCATTCCCTCCCCTACCCTGGACGAATTGTGCGCCGCCCCATGGGTCTCCGGTCGCGGCCGGCTACGACAGAGCCTGGATTCGAACCAGGATCTCTAGTGGCACAGCTAGCACTGCGATACAGTGCCTTAGACCACTGCGCCACTCGGGAGGTCGAAGGAATTGTCCGTAGAGCTCAGAGACAGGATTGTGTCGAGGCACAACATTTCTGCAGCATTGAAGGTCCCCAAGAACACAGTGGTCTCCATCACTCTTAAATGGAAGACATTTGGAACCACCAAGACTCTTCCTAGAGCTGGCCGCCCGGCCAAACTGAGCAATCGGTGGAGAAGGGCCTTGGTCAGGGAGGTGACCAAGAACCCGATGGTCACTCTGACAGAGTTACAGAGTTCCTCTGTCGAGATGGGAGAATCTTTCAGAAGGACAACCATCTCTGCAGCACTCCACCAATCAGGCCTTTATGCTAGAGTGGCCAGATGGAAGCCACTCCTCAGTAAAAAGGCACATGACAGCCCACTTGGAGTTTGCCAAAAGGCATCTAAAGACTCTCAGACCATGAGAAACAAGATTCTCTGGTCTGATGAAACCAAGATTGAACTCTTTGGCATGAATTCCAAGCGTCACGTCTGCAGGAAACCAGACACCGCTCATCATCTGGCCAATACCATCCCTACGGTGAAGCATGGTGGTGGCAGCATCATGCTGTGGGGATGTTTTTCAGCGGCAGGGACTGGGAGACTACTCAGGATCGAAAGAAAGATGCTTGATGAAAACCTGCTCCAGAGTGCTCAGGACCTCAGACTGGGGCGAAGGTTCACCTTCCAACAGGACAACGACCCTAAGCACATAGCCAAGACAATGCAGGAGTGATTTCGGGACAAGTCTCTGAATGTCCTTGAGTGGCCCAGCCAGAGCCCAGACTTGAACCCGATCTAACATATCTGTAGACCTGAAAATAGCTGTGCAGCAAAGCTCCCCATCCAACCTGACAGAGCTTGAGAGGATCTGTAGAGAAGAATAGGAGAAACTCCCCAAATACAGGTGTGCCAAGCTTGTAGCGTCATACCCAAGAAGACTCAAGGCTGTAATCGCTGCCAAAGGTGCTTCAACAAAGTACTGAGTAAAGGGTCTGAATACTTATGTAAATATCATTTCAGTTTTTTATTTTTAATACATTTGCAACCATTTCTAAAAACCAGTTTTTGCTTTGTCATTATGGGGTATAATGTGTAGATTGATGAGGGGAAAAAAACAATTTAATCCCAAAAAAAGTGAAGTAGTGCATTGTATTTAGACTATTTACATTTTAGTCATTTAGCAGACGCTCTTATCCAGAGCGACTTACAGTTAGTGAGTGCATACATTATATATTTATTTCCATACTGGCCCCCCGTGGGAATCGAACCCACAACCCTGGCGTTGCAAACGCCATGCTCTACCAATATCCCTGCCGGCCATTCCCTCCCCTACCCTGGACGACGCTGGGCCAATTGTGCGCCGCCCCATGGGTCTCCCGGTCGCGGCCGGCTACGACAGAGCCTCGACTATTGATACGGTCTAACTGGTAAAACTGCAAAGTTTTGATTTGTAAAGTTCAAATAGAGTATAGTCTTGCATATCACAATATATCGTCTTGCACTTATATCATGATATTCAAATTAATTATATATCGGCCCAACCCTAAACTTAGCAAGAGACATTCAACGTTGACCCTGTTGTTGTGACCGTTTTATCTTGTAATGTGTCAATTTTTCTGTGATGGTGAATAAAAAGTTGGCTACAGTTAAACTCAAAACGTTCAGATATGTTCTGATAATTATCAACTTGCTAGCCAGCTAGATAGCTAGCTAAAAAGCTAGCCACAAACTAAAACATTGTCTAGAAAGTTGCTTTTAGTTGCATGGCTTGCGAGATAAAAAATGTGTTTAGGATATGTCAAACAGATGGGTTTTTTGATACAAAAAATTATAATAAAAGAGCAGGTAACGTTGCTATTTGGACCAGGCTGCTGCGATGTCATGCAGACTGGCGTCTTTTTCTTTATAGTTTTTCATAATGAAAAGGACACGTTTTTATATCGGACAACAACAATAGAATGTTCATGATTTAATGCGTGCCAAAGACGGTAAGATGAAAGCCGATGTTTATACTGAGGGGTTGGCAGGACCTTTAAAAACACATTACCGCAATCATGACTAGGTCGGTTGGCGGAAATAGTAGTGGCTTTTTCGCTGGCAATACCTTTCAGACATAAAGCAAAAATGTGTGGGTTTTCGTCTCTGTTTGAAAGGGATATTACATTCAACATTGTGGGAAATCATAATTGTGCTATAGCCTTCACCTGTAGACAAGGAAGTCATACTGTAGGAGTACTAGTTTTTTAGTATATAAAAAATAAATAACTACTGGCCATAAACTATAGTTCCCAACCTTCAGTGTCTCTAGAAAGAGGAAGCCGAAGTGAGAGAGGAAAAGGCGGGCTGTCTGAAACTCCATGGCGGGCAGAGGGGGCTTGCAGTCGGTCAGGGGGTCCGGGAAGGACTTAGAACTCCAGACGTCCTCGCTGTGGCGCTCCAGGGAACACTCATACTCCATCTGCTTGCTCATCATGCTGCGCAGCCTATCATGCTGCATCTCCAGCTGAGAGGGGCAAAGGTAAAGTATGTGTGAGCGGGGGCAACTGTAAGGACTCACACACAGTCACACACCTCACGTTTATTAGTGTATGTACCTGCGACCGTACCCACACTATATTCTTAAACAATGTAAGTAAACCAAGTTCTGCCACTGCCATAACCATACCTGTACAGCAAATTCACAGCTGCAATCAAGAATAGACCAATGTGGGCCTCCCGAGTGGCGCAGCGGTCTAAGGCACTCCAGACCCGGGTTCGATTCCAGGCTGTGTCACAACTGTCGCCTACTTTCTCTCACGTTGTGACTTAGGGATGAATGATGTTCAATGAGCAGGTTGTAGAGCGCCCTCTTCAGGGAACCATTGATTTTTTTTTTTTTATGACCGCAAATGAGCAGATGTTTTTGTTCATTCTATGTTTTTTTACATTTACATTTTAGTCATTTAGCAGACGCTCTTATCCAGAGCGACTAACAGTTAGTGAGTGCATACATTTTTTGATACTGGCCCCCCGTGGGAATCGAACCCACAACCCTGGCGTTGCAAGCGCCATGCTCTACCAACTGAGCTACACTAATATCAGCGCTTTATCTGTGGAATAAAGATCGATATAAATATTTCTGTGAAAGGCTAATAATCGGCCGATAATATTGGTCAACCGGTTTATCATTCGGGCTCTAATGTTAGTCTAACGGCTCTATTAAATCAAGTCCAGTATCTGAATAGCATGGTTAAAGCAAAACTCAGTTAGATAGTGAGGGAGAAACGTAACAATGCGAGTATACTCCATGGAGTCCGAAAAAAAGTGATCTGGTAACCTTTGACCTTTGTCTCCTAAAGGATGGGACAACGCACGTGTGGATGATTATACTTCAATATGCATGGCACACTCACTTCATCCTGCAAGTTCATAGAAGTCACTTGATTCCACATCAATAAGAATGTACCCTAATAACTGTTCTGTCTCCATAAGCCTGGGTAACACTTATCATTTTACTCTCTTTACACTCTGCGTCAAGGGTTTTGTCCAAAAGTAATTCACTTTAGAATAAGTTTACATTACATTCAATTTGGACAGTGATACGAGCTGCGTTCCAATATGCTAAAATACTCTGACCCTCCTCTCCCTGCACTCTTTCCTTCATGATCATGGATAGTAGAAAGAACTGGATAGGTGACAGAAATAAGATGAACACCTATCAAGGTACTTTCAGATCATTGGTCATGAAAGAGAGGATATGAGAAGAGTAGGATAATCAAGAGTCTATTGGGGTCATGGTGGGGTCAACATAGTCGCTCACACCTCCTTGTTGACGATGTCATCCAGGTCTGGAATGCTGACGTCGGCTTTGACCAGGGGGATCTTGTCCACCTCCTCCGGGAAGGGCCTCTGCTTGACGGTGTAGCGGATCCCCACGTCATCCTTGGGCACCGGGCGGCCCTCAGGGACAAACACCTGCTGTAGGAGAGGAGAGACGAGGATGTTGAATTAGTGTGTATTATTACATCATGCTCAGTATAACAGTTGTGTATTACTATTAGAGTAGAGTATGGAATCAGCAGAGATTTGAGTAATAACAGTTGGTGTAAACAGCTACCACAAAATAAAGCCTCAAACATTTCAATATGCAAATAATCGCTTGTTAGCGTAGTACGCTAGCCATTTCATTTCTACCATTTTACTATTGGTAATAGGGCAAGCACCCCTTTACAAGCACCCCCTAATCCTTTTGTGTGGAAGCAAAACTCTCATACCCCTAATCATTTTGTGTGGAAGCAAAACTCTCATACCTCTAATCCTTTTGTGTGGAAGCAAAACTCTCATACCCTTTCCACACTACTGAGCTAAGCAAAGCCAAGCCAAACTGTACTATGACAATATCAGAGCCAGAACAGTACAGTTCGGGTCATTAAGGTAGTGTGAAAGGGTATAAGAGTAAATACTCTGTCTGCCTCACAGACAGACCAAGGCGGACCAGTGGGCCAACTAACTGGTCTCACCCTCTGGTTGGCCCGTGCTTCTCTGGGCTGGTGGAAGAGCTGCATGGTCCAGGCGTGTCGGCCAGCCATGCCCCGGATTAGGACAGTCACTGACGGGCTGGGGTCTGCAGACAGTGGAGAAGCAGTTACATCAGGGTTGCCAGTGAAAGTGGAAACCGTCTGCTGGTTTGAGGCAAAATGGGTGCCTGACTTGCCTCCTGCCATTGAGATGCCTACTCACTTTCATAAGCCACTATCCTATTTGCATTTATGTATCTGTTTTATTTAGCTGTTCATTGTGCCAGGTGAGTGTCATGATTGAGAAACTTAGCAAAACAAAGCTTGATTTTGAGTACAAAGTAACACAAGCATCAACCAACAGATACGACGATACGACAAAAACAACAGCAACATGCAACTACTTATACAACTGAAAATAGTTAATAAACCTAGTTGTTACATGTCAAAAGCAATACAGTGCACTACGCTTATAGTGAATGTGGTTATACAGTGGGGGGGAAAAGTATTTAGTCAGCCACCAATTGTGCAAGTTCTCCCACTTAAAAAGATGAGAGAGGCCTGTAATTTTCATCATAGGTACACGTCAACTATGACAGACAAATGGAGGAAAATAAATCCAGAAGATCACATTGTAGGATTTTTAATGAATTTATTTGCAAATTATGGTGGAAAATAAGTATTTGGTCACCTACAAACAAGCAAGATTTCTGGCTCTCACAGACCTGTAACAACTTATTTAAGAGGCTCCTCTGTCCTCCACTCGTTACCTGTATTAATGGCACCTGTTTGAACTTGTTATCAGTATAAAAGACACCTGTCCACAACCTCAAACAGTCACACTCCAAACTCCACTATGGCCAAGACCAAAGAGCTGTCAAAGGACACCAGAAACAAAACTGTAGACCTGCACCAGGCTGGGAAGACTGAATCTGCAATAGGTAAGCAGCTTGGTTTGAATAAATCAACTGTGGGAGCAATTATTAGGAAATGGAAGACATACCAGACAACTGATAATCTCCCTCGATCTGGGGCTCCACGCAAGATCTCACCCCGTGGGGTCAAAATGATCACAAGAACAGTGAGCAAAAATCCCAGAACCACACGGGGGGACCTAGTGAATGACCTGCAGAGAGCTGGGACCAAAGTAACAAAGCCTACCATGAGTAACACACTACGCCGCCAGGCACTCAAATCCTGCAGTGCCAGACGTGTCCCCCTGCTTAAGCCAGTACATGTCCAGGCCCGTCTGAAGTTTGCTAGAGTGCATTAGGATGATCCAGAAGAGGATTGGGAGAATGTCATATGGTCAGATGAAACCAAAATATAACTTTTTAGTAAAAACTCAACTCGTCGTGTTTGGAGGACAAAGAATGCTGAGTTGCATCCAAAGAACACCATACCTACTGTGAAGCATGGGGGTGGAAACATCATGCTTTGGGGCTGTTTTTCTGCAAAGGGACCAGGACGACTGATCCGTGTAATTTTTTCAAGGTCCTGGAGTGGCCTAGCCAGTCTCCAGATCTTTGGAGGGATTTGAAAGTCCGTGTTGCCCAGCGACAGCCCCAAAACATCACTGCTCTAGAGGAGATCTGCATGGAGGAATGGGCCAAAATACCAGCAACAGTGTGTGAAAACCTTGTGAAGACTTACAGAAAACGTTTGACCTGTGTCATTGCCAACAAAGGGTATATAACAAAGTATTGAGAAACTTTTGTTATTGACCAAATACTTATTTTCCACCATAATTTGCAAATAAATTCATAAAACATCCTACAATGTGATTTTCAGGATTTTTTTTCCTCATTTTGTCTGTCATAGTTGACGTGTACCTATGATGAAAATTACAGGCCTCTCATCTTTTTAAGTGGGAGAACTTGCACAATTGGTGGCTGGCTAAATACATTTTTCCCCACTGTAGTATGCAACTGCTTATAGTGACTAAATTGTCCTGCACGGATGTGATCACTATAAGAGGAATGTATTGTACTTGCAGTTTATCCAAATAAAGTGAAAGCCCAGATCTTTTTAAAAAGGGAGGTCTGGTTTTGTCAGTTCTGCTCAGTCCCACTCACTCTGCTCATTGCCCAACGGTTGCTCCAGCATGGACAGGATGACGGAGTTGTCCAGGACAAAGTAGCGGAAGTTGCTGGGTCCTGTGGCGCTGAGGCGGGCGTAGCGGATCAGAGTATCCTCGTTCAGCAGGCTGCAGGTGGAGGCTGGGCCACTGGGGGAGGGGAATGCCCCCAGGACCTGCATGATACTGGACAACAACAAAAACAACAAACAACAAGAGAGAGAGGGGAGGTTGGTTCAAAGTGGCTAGACTGATACCCAGACGGGAGCAATAAACAGTATTTATTTAGTTAGGTATTATTGGACCATGTGCAATTTTGGGCAAAAATACAAGGGTCATGTTCATCAAGGCAAACCGTAGCAAAACGTTTTGAAACAGAAAACAAAAATCGATTTCTTAACAGACAAGTCTGGGTAGATCCACCTTGTATCAACAATTTTCCTTCATTTTGATGCCTAATGAACACAACCCAGGTGTTTAGTGCACTTTGCTGGGTTTAGAATCTCACCAGGAGAGGGTGGCCTCGGCTGCATCCTTAACCCTCATGGAGGCCGGGTTGTGCTCCTTCTCGCCCTTGTGCCTCACCTCCTGCTCTTGTTTAGACTTGCTGCCTGAGATACCGAGCTCTACGATCTCCAACACCTCCACCAGACAGTCCTGACAGAGAGAGACAGGTCAAATACAGGAAACACTCCACACAGGCAGACATGTGGTCAATACCAAACATGGTCATAATAATATATTAATAATAATAATAATATGCCTTATCCAAAGCGACTTACAGTCATGTGTGCATACATTTTTACGTATGGGTGGTCCCGGGGATCGAACCCACTACCCTGGCGTTACAAGCGCCATGCTCTACCAATTGAGCTACAGAAGACCACATAAATGGTCATAAATGGTCCTACTTGACCAACATGGTCAGACATGGTCCTACAAACAAACACATCGCTCATAAAATGGTTAATAAACAAATACAGTGAGGTCCAAAGGTATTTGGACATTGAAATGTTTTGTTGTTTTGGCTCTGTATTTCAGCACTCTGGATTTGAAATTATACAATGACTATGAGGTTAAAGTGCAGACTGTCAGCTTCAATTTTAGAGTATTTTCATCCATATCGGGTGAACCGTTTAGAAATTACAGCACTTTTTGTACATACTCCTCCCTCCTCCCCTCCCCATTTTAGGGAAAAAAAAGTATTTGGACAAATTCATTTATGTGTATTAAAGGAGTCAAAACTTTAGTATTTGGTCCCATATTCCTAGCACGCAATGACTACTTCAAGCTTGTAACTCTAGAAACGTGTTGGATGCATTTGCAGTTTGTTTTGGTTGTGTTTTTAAGATTATTTTGAGCCCAATAGAAATGAATGGTAAATAATGTAGTGCGTCATTTTGGAGTCACTTTTATTATAAATAAGAATAGAATGTTTCTAAACACTTCTACATTAACATGGATTCTACCATATTTACTGATAATCATGAATGAATCATGAAGAGTGCAAAAGAGAAACGCTAACCTCCCCTGTTGTTGGTAATGGTAAGTAGTTGGCATGTCTTGGGGGTATGATCTTTGTGCCTCAAAAAATGTGTCACTGTCCAAATACTTTTGGACCTCACTGGTTGACACTCAAACACATCAGCCATATACATTCCTAATAAACAAACTTTGGTCATGCATGGTTTTTCTCATCAAACATTGTTAGACATCGTCAATACTAAAGAAAGAGCACATTTAGTCTTCCTCGACAAACCAAACACAGACTTATTTAGTCTTATGAAACAGAACCAGGTTCCTGAGAAACAGCCACGAACTATCCTGTATCACTGCCCGTCAGTGGCGATTTTAGCATGTAAATCTTGGTGGGGCAAACAAAACATAAAAATTGTATGCCAGCAAAGCCACTAAACAACATAACACTAAACAACACATTCATCGCACTATAACAGTGACAAATGGTGCCCACAAACTGTTAGGGCCCTACATAAAGCTGTCCCAACAGCAGAGCTTTCTTTTCAGCACCATGGAGTGAATCCTTACCACCGCTACACCTGGCTATCAGTGGAGCCTTCTCTGGCAGCGAAAGAGTTCATTCAGCCTCATTTACCGCCTTTTTAAAAACATTGCTGATATGGCTGACTTGCTTAAACAAATGTGGTTTCTATTGACAATTGAGATGTACAAACTATGGCATAAGGGGACGACGAGCGTATAAGAGAAAGGGACTAAATTATTTGGGTGAGGCACATGGGCTACTAACAGCTTACTACACAACATCCACTTAGTATTACTTTCTTAGCTACAGTATACATATCTCCCTGGCATATTACATCATTTATGCAGCAGCATACAATACATTTTTGGACTCACCTTGTTGTGCTGTGCTCACTTGAACAGGAAGGTGGCGCGGCGGTCCGTCGTGGGCAAATTTTGTCATCAAAGTCTGGCATTCTCTTGATTTATGGTGCTTTCAAGACAACTGGAAACTCAGAAAAAAACAAGGTTGAATCATGACGTCAGTGATCTTCAGGTCGGAGCTCCAGAAAGAGACTTGGAATTCCGAGTTTGATAACCGTTTAAAACGTATTTTTCCAGTCGGAGCTTGTTTTTGTCTGAGTTCCCAGTTGTCTTGAACTCACTGAAGTCTGAGATTTCCCAGTTCCAAGTTTCCAGTTGTTTTGAACGCGGCAGAAGTCATGCTGGATTGACAGCATGGCCAATGTATTCAACCTTTTCTGGCCCATGGTGTGTGAATATTTATCCTTTTAAGCTTAGAAAAGAGACCCTTAAACCCAGACTTGGACCACACACCCACTCCACTGAATAGCAAGCTATTGATTGCTTTGCAACACTTGCAGGTTGCCACTGATTCCTTCCAAACCAATCATTGTTGAATTTGCGATAATTTCCAACTAGGCTGAAACACCTGCATTTTGTCATCAAGGAAAAGGGTGGCTATTTGAAGAATCTCAAATATAAAATATATTTTGATTTGTTGAACACTTTTTTGGTTACTACATGATTCCATGTGTGTCATTTCATAATTTTGATGTCTTCACTATTAAGGACTGTAGCTCTTAACAGTTTTCCAAAAATGTTACTTTTAACAAACACACTAACATTTCAGTTTCCATCATGAAAACATTTCCTGTAATGTTTTAAGTGTCCTGTATTATATTTCTGTCATGTATTATGTATTTTACGTGAGTGTTTTTAATTTTTTTATGATGTAAATTCTGCATTTCTTCAGTTTTATCTGTGAGCAATAATCAATCAACTCAAACTCAAAGAACACACGCCACATTGATCACAGCGCTATCTAGTTTGGGATGCTGTCTACCTACCTTCTCATTCAGCATGTCAGGGTGCTCCGTCAGCCACACACACAGGCACTGGAAGGCTGCCACAATCATTGAGTGGAGGTCTCGGGAGTGGAGGGGGGGCCGGCCGGCTACACTGGTACACGATGTAACCGCACACTGAGCTGACCGCACGCTTACTGTCCGCAGAGTCCACACACGCCTTCACCTTGGCCAGGCCAGCCAGTAGCTCCAGGGCAGCCAGTGAGATGCTCATTTCAGACCTCCACTGGGAGTTGAGCCTCTGGGTGACCAGGTGGATGCTGGTTTAAGGATGTAAACCCCGAAACACCACCACCAAACACCACCACCATAGATAGAGGAGGACAGGGAGAACAAGGCTGCAAGTTAGAACAAACAAGCTATATTTACCAGTGTGAACCTAAAGGCGTCAGCATACAGTGGGGAAAAAAAGTATTTAGTCAGCCACCAATTGTGCAAGTTCTCCCGCTTAAAAAGATGAGAGAGGCCTGTAATTTTCATCATAGGTACAGGTCAACTATTACAAACAAATTGAGAAAAAAAAAATCCAGAAAATCACATTGTAGGATTTTTTATGAATTTATTTGCAAATTATGGTGGAAAATAAGTATTTGGTCACCTACAAACAAGCAAGATTTCTGGCTCTCACAGACATGTAACTTCTTCTTTAAGAGGCTCCTCTGTCCTCCACTCGTTACCTGTTTTAATGGCACCTGTTTGAACTTGTTATCAGTATAAAAGACACCTGTTCACAACCTCAAACAGTCACACTCCAAACTCCACTATGGCCAAGACCAAAGAGCTGTCAAAGGACACCAGAAACAAAATTGTAGACCTGCACCAGGCTGGGAAGACTGAATCTGCAATAGGTAAGCAGCTTGGTTTGAAGAAATCAACTGTGGGAGCAATTATTAGGAAATGGAAGACATACAAGACCACTGATAATCTCCCTCGATCTGGGGCTCCACGCAAGATCTCACCCCGTGGGGTCAAAATGATCACAAGAACGGTGAGCAAAAATCCCAGAACCACACGGGGGGACCTAGTGAATGACCTGCAGAGAGCTGGGACCAAAGTAACACACTACGCCGCCAGGGACTCAAATCCTGCAGTGCAAGACGTGTCCCCCTGCTTAAGCCAGTACATGTCCAGGCCCGTCTGAAGTTTGCTAGAGTGCATTTGGATGATCCAGAAGAGGATTGGGAGAATGTCATATGATCAGATGAAACCAAAATAGAACTTTTTGGTAAAAACTCAACTCGTCGTGTTTGGAGGACAAAGAATGCTGAGTTGCATCCAAAGAACACTATACCTACTGTGAAGCATGGGGGTGGAAACATCATGCTTTGGGGCTGTTTTTCTGCAAAGGGACCAGGACGACTGATCCGTGTAATGGAAAGAATGAATGGGGCCATGTATCGTGAGATTTTGAGTGAAAACCTCCTTCCATCAGCAAGGGCATTGAAGATGAAACGTGGCTGGGTCTTTCAGCATGACAATGATCCCAAACACACTGCCCGGGCAACGAAGGAGTGGCTTCGTAAGAAGCATTTCAAGGTCCTGGAGTGGCCTGGCCAGTCTCTAGATCTCAACCCCATAGAAAATCTTTGGAGGGAGTTGAAAGTCCGTGTTGCCCAGCGACAGCCCCAAAACATCACTGCTCTAGAGGAGATCTGCATGGAGGAATGGGCCAAAATACCAGCAACAGTGTGTGTAAACCTTGTGAAGACTTACAGAAAACGTTTGACCTGTGTCATTGCCAACAAAGGGTATATAACAAAGTATTGAGAAACTTTTGTTATTGACCAAATACTTATTTTCCACCATAATTTGCAAATAAATTCATTAAAAATCCTATAATGTGATTTTCTGGAATCTTTTTTCTCGTTTTGTCGGTCATAGTTGACGCGTACCTATGATGAAAATTACAGGCCTCTCTCATCTTTTTAAGTGGGAGAACTTGCACAATTGGTGGCTGGCTAAATACTTTTTTCCCCCACTGTACATCATGTTGTATTGTAGTCAAATCAGCCAAAGCTAGGCTAATGCAACATTTCCTACCTCGGACTTGACGTTGCCAAAGTGGTGTGGGAGAGGCAGCATGGCCAGTAGGATGTGGATTGAAGCCCTCCTCAGGTCCGTGGGATTCACATACAGCTTGAATTTAGACAGTTCCCTGGAGGAGGTTGGACCATAGAATTAGAATTTCTAGATCAGATTCCCAGACTTCTATTTCTATGTTCAGTTGATGCTCAAGTATTTCCTGTCAATGGCATTAGTTAACATTACAGATATGATCAGCCCCTGGGCAACTTCACCTGCATTCATATGGTCACAGTAAAGCACCAGAATGATCTGGTTATTGTACATTCATTTAACAGCTAAATATACTATTGGGTCTTTTTCCAATATTATCGTTTTTAAACATCTAGCCTTGTTCATGTTTGGTCGTGTGTAATATCTCTTTTGTTACCTGTCAGGCAAAATTGTCTCCAGAGCGGATATGAAGTAGGGGACCACCACGTTGACGCCCTTCAGGTCAGAGCAGAACAGAGAGGAGGAGTTGAGGATGATGCTAGCCAGCACAGGCCTGCAGATGAAGTCCGAGATCTGGAGGCCCTGAAGCAGAACCATGTAGAACCTGCGGGGGGAAAGACATACGTTTCTTCAGACCAAAATGGGAACATTTACATTTACGTCATTTAGCAGATGCTCTTATCCAGAGCGACTTTCAAATTGGTGCATTCAACTTATGATAGCCAGTGGGACAACCAGTTTTTTGGGGTGGGGGAGGGATTACGTTTATACTATTCAGGTATTCATTAAAGAGGTAGGGTTTCAAGTGTCTCCGGAAGGTGGTCAGTGACTCCGCTGTCCTGGCGTCGTGGGGGAGCTTGTTCCACCATTGGGGTGTCAGAGCAGCGAATAGCTTTGACTGGGCTGAGCGGGAACTGTGCTTCCGTAGAGGTAGGGGGGCTAGCAGGCCAGAGGTGGATGAACGTAGTGCCCTCGTTTGGGTGTAGGGTCTAATCAGAGCCTGAAGGTAAGGAGGTGCCGTTCCCCTCACAGCTCTGTAGGCAAGCACCATGGTCTTGTAGTAGATGCGAGCCTCAACTGGAAGCAAGTGGAGTGTGCGGAGGAGCGGGGTGACATGAGAGAACTTGGGAAGGTTGAACACCAGACGGGCTGCGGCATTCTGGATGAGTTGTAGGGGTTTAATGGCACAGGCAGGGAGCCCAGCCAACAGCGAGTTGCAGTAATCCAGATGGGAGATGACAAGTGCCTGGATTAGGACCTGTGCCGCTTTCTGTTTAAGGTAGGGTCGTACTCTGCGAATGTTGTAGAGCATGAACCTGCAGGATCAGGTCACCCCTTTGATGTTAGCGGAGAACGACAGGGTGTTGTCCAGGGTCACGCCAAGGTTCTTTGCACTCTGGGAGGAGGACACAATGGAGTTGTCAACCGTGATGGCGAGATCATGGAGCGGGCAGTCTTTCCCCGGGAGGAAGAGCAGCTCCGTCTTGCCGAGGTTCAGCTTCAATTTGCAGAGGGTCAAAACATTCATTGAGGTTTCAAGACAAACACAAATAGCTTATAGCTAATAATTTGAGGCTAACCCAAATGGCTAAAGCCGCAGCTAGCCCTAGGCTAAACTACCGACCACATGTATGCCTACATAGAGTACTACTACAGCAAGAGTCACCACCCTTTTCTGAGTCAGATAATTTTTTGTATTACTTGTGAGGTACAGCTGAGTGAGCATAAAAATGTCATTTTCTTCTGGACTGATGGCCTGCATCTGATGGTCAGTGTATAGGGAGGGAGGGAGCAGCGATCAGGCTGCCTCTCTCCCTCCCTCCCTCCTCTGAGAAAAGGGGACACTATCTTCCAGCTGATGGCGAAACTCAAGTCGCACTGCATTATTTCTGCCTCATGCACCAATTCAGGTTTTTAGCTACTTCTATGACCAGAGAAAGTGAAATATTAAAAAAGATAAGCCGCTAATAACAACGCAAGCTTATCGGAACACTTTGCTATAGTCATTTGTTGCAGCTGCAGTGCTGTAGCGTGAGTGAAAGTAGGGAGAACGCACATTTTATGGCTTATAAAAAAGTATTGACAGTGCTGAATAACAACTTAAACATTAACTTACTCATAAAAACAGCAGTTCTTTGCTTTATTCGTTGAGTCTCTTTCTAGTCTGTGCATTCAAGGCTTATTTTTAAAGTTATGGCCCGAATAAACTGTGCAGAAACGGTGATCTGACCCATCTGATTGGCCAGCAGTAGACCTATAGGTGCACTTGATTAGCCCGCCGGGTAAGCGGAGTTCTACCTTCAGACACATAAAATGGATCAAAAATGGGAACACTTTGCCTTACCGGCGCTAGGGCAGCTGAATCAAGTGCACCTACCATCAACAGCGCGAACCCCCCCCCAAAAAAATAGGAACGCAAGGTTTTTTACAGAAATGTTTGGTGATCGACAAGGAATGCGTTGGAAATTGACCAGTCGACCGCGATCGACCGGTTGGTGACCACTGTTCTAGAGCCTTACAGCCAACATGAATCATTAGCATATTACCACATTAGCAAGCTAATGTAGCATATCTTAGCATTAGCATGGTAGCCTGTTAGCATTGAGACTGCCGTTTTACCTGGACAGGTAGACAGGGAGAATGTCCTCTCCGGTCTTCTTGCTACAGAAGATGCGGCAGAGGGTGCCGCAGGCCTCGGCACGGCCTGGCTTGTAGCTCTCTGGGAACTCGTTAGCGACGAACATGGGGTTGGACACCATGGAGTCAGCAGACATCTGGGAGCCCTTCCTCAGCTCCAGACCCACCTGAGTGCCTACGGCTGTGAGGAGACACAGGAGTGAAAGGACCCCAGAATGGGACAGACAGCCATCCTCACACATGCATGCATTAACACACACAAATAGAAACAGATATAGTCCTAAAATACACACACGGATAAAACGTAACCAGACACACACAACAAGTATTCGAACTGAGGTACAGTGCATTTGGAAAGTGTTCAGACCCCTTGACCTTTTCCACATTTTGTTACGTTACAGCCTTATTCTAAAATGGATTAAATTGTTTTTTTTCTTCATCAGACTACACACAATACCCCATAATGGCAAATCAAAAACAGGTTCAGAAATGTTTGCAAATGTATAAAAAAATATATATATATATTTTATTTACATAAGTATTCAGACCCTTTACTCAGTACTTTGTTGAAGCACCTTTGGCAGCGATTACAGCTTCGAGTCTTCTTGGGTATGACACTACAAGGTTGGCACAGTTGTATTTGGGGATTTTCTCCCATTCTTCTCTGCGGATCCTCTCAAGCTCTGTCAGGTTGGATGGGGAGCGTCGCTGCACAGCTATTTTCAGGTCTCTCCAGAGATGTTCGATCGGGTTCAAGTCCGGGCTCTGGCTGGGCCACTCAAGGACATTCAGAGACTTGTCTCAAAGCCACTCCTGCGTTGTCTTGGCTGTGTGCTTAGGGTCGTTGTCCTGTTGGAAGGTGAACCTTTGCCCCAGTCTGAGGTCCTCAGCGCTCTGGAGCTTTCATCAAGGATATCTCTGTTCTTTGCTCCGTTCATCTTTCCCTCGATCCTGACTAGTCTCCCAGTCCCTGCCGCTGAAAAACATCCAGCTCTAGGAAGTCTTGGTGGTTCCAAACTTCTTCCATTTAAGAATGATGGAGGCCACTGTGTTCTTGGGGACCTTCAATTCTGCAAAAAAAATGTGGTACCCTTCCCCAGATCTGTGCCTCGACACAACCCTGTCTCGGAGCTCTACGGACAATTCCTTCGACCTCATGGCTTGGTTTTTGCTCTGACATGCACTGTCAACTGTGGGACCTTATATAGACAGGTGTGTGCCTTTCCAAATCATGTCCAATCAATTGAATTTACCACAAGTGGACTCCAATCAAGTTGTAGAAACATCTCAAGGATGATCAATGGAAACAGGATGCACCTGAGCTCAATTTCGAGTCTCATAGCAAAGGGTCTGAATATCTATGTAAATAAGGTATCTTTTTTTTAAATATAAATTTGCAAGAATTTCTAAAAACCTGTTTTCGCTTTGTCATAATGGGGTGTGCAGATTGATAAGAAATTGTTTATTTTAGAATAAGGCTGTAAAATAAAATGTGGAAAAAGGGGTCTGAATACTTTAATAATGCACTGCAAATACTGTACACACACAAACTAACACACTAAGCACACAAAATAAGACAAGGACACAACCACAGACCTAATAGGCTGCAAACACACACACAAACATTAATAAGCAGGCACACAAAAAGGCACTTCTGACACAGTTTGCCATAAAGAGTGTTGTCTTTATCATGGGCTAAGTCAGGGATGGGCAACTGGTGGACCCCCTTTTGTAGGCCCGCGGACCAGTTCAAAAATCCTAATAACAAAAAACTAATTATGATCGCAAGGTCATATGATCGCAAGGTCCCAACACAAGTTGCAAGAAGGCATCGACGCAAAATCGCTGTGTCAGCTCATCACCCTTGTACTAGCATCATGACGACGTCACTCAAAGTACAGACATTCACTTCATGCATTGAGGCACCAAACCAAAAGTCAACTGAAAGTCATAAGTGACCTGAAAACACAGGGAGAAAGCATAAGAGAACAATGCGCTGAATTCAGGGCAAACCAAAAAGGGTTAGTGGCACTATAAATAAAAAGTCACTGGAATATGGTGGCGTGGTCACAAACTGGCAACGCAATGTCGGGACATTGGCGAGGCTGTGTGCTCCCATTCCATTTCCAACTCGCAGAACATTGGCGCAATGCTCAAATGACGGTGGTGGGGGGTAAAACGTAATGATGATGGGCGATGATGATTAAACCAAAGATGGTTTCAAAGTACTGACTGCGAGAGAAAATCTGCAGCTACTACTTTCAAGATATATAAGAAAGGAGAATTTGGATAGAGGCTGCAAGATACCAAAACTAGTGGAGACAAATCAAAGCATATCGATATTTTCTCAATTAATTCTTAATGCATGAATTGTGTGTTTTTTACTCCTCAAATGGATGACCTTTCACTCTGAAACTGTTGAAACATCCGACATGGTAGACAAGAGAGTTGGCATGCAGGACAGACACACCAACACGTGAAGAGAAATGAGACAGTCCTGGACATCATGGTCCTTGATCCTCCCTTTTCTACCTTCCTTAATTCTGCTCTTGAAGAACCACATTATTTCACGTCTTTCTCCCAGCTAAGGTCCATCACGTCTAGGTCGTATTTATTTGGCACCAAACGGAAGAAAACGGACTGAAACAGGGAGGGACTCAGCTGAGTCCAATGAGAAACACCCATTTTTGTTTTCTGTTGCAAAACATTTTGCTACGGTGTGCCCTAATGAATACAACCCTGAATCAACTGATCTTCAAGCCCTTGATTAACAGAATCAGGCGTTTCACTGCTGAGCTTGTGGCTTTCCAGGAGCAGGATTGATATTCAAACCTCAAATAGTGCTGTCAACTCCTACACTCATAAGGCACAAGACTAGATGGAACTACACTGAGACATGCAGAAGTGTGTGTTCTGACTCGATAAATTCAATCTTGTGACAACTACAGTAAGGCTGGAGGCGTGTGTCAAGATTTAAATCTCCATTCTACACTGTTCTGTGGAGTTGAATGTCAACTAGCCTACAGTAACTGATATATTTTTGAAGTCAGTGTGGTCTCCACGAAGTGCTTGAGCAGATGTGCAAAGTAGTTAAAGAGAGGAGAGACAAAAAATAATAACCCAGTTTTCTGACCCCAGCCCGCTCCACCCAAAACACACACACGTCCAACCCTAAACCCAACACAAACATGCAATCCCCCCATCCAATCCAACCCCCCCACACACACACAAATGGAGTAGAAGCTTGTCCATTCAGTCAGTCAGACGGCAGCGGGTGCAGTAAGCTTACCAGTCATGCTGGGGTCTCGGCTGAGACCGCTGTGGAGCTTGCAGTGCACCAGCGCCGAGTCAAACAGCCACTGGCCGAAGAGGTTGAGGATGCTGTTGACTTTGGGCCTGGCGGGGGCGGGCAGCGGTCGCGTCTCCCAGCTGCTCTGGTTGGGGCTGGCAAGCAGGGTGGGGGAAGACGTCGGCTGCTGGGACGCGGACACTTTTGCCACCTGGGCCACGCTGCCCTGTAGTGGAGGGGAGGGGAGAGATAGGTAAAGTTTTTTAGCAAAGCTCAGAATCGGGTAATTTAATTGCCTAAATAGAACACATGTATTTAAATCCAGGGTCTCAAGATCATTTATTTTACTGTTGTTCTTTCAAATGCTTTAGCGCCGCTGGATAAGGCTTGCCTGGCACAGTTGAACCAATAGAGTAGTCCCCAAAAAATGCAAACCTCGCCCCATCTGGCAGTCCGGGCAGGCTTTAAACACTAAAAGTGTTTGAAACCAGATTTGCAGTAAATGGTAAAGATAATGATGTAAGTACAGTACAGGTCAGGATGATGTACAGTAAGCACCAGAATTGTAGGCTACATGGGTGACTTACGGTTGAACTCTTGCTGGCAGTCTTGGTGATCACAGTGTGACGCTGCTTGCGGCTGTGTGGTGTTGTTGGAGGAGGACGGGGACATGCTTAGCCTGTTGACCGGTGTGGGCGGGGCACTGTCAGTCCTGGGTCGGGATATGCCTGTGGAGGAGGGGTGCTCAAAGTTGACCCATTTTGCATACCCAACCCTGCTATTAGACATCCATGTCTTCATCATTGAAAAATATAAACGGTTGAGTTTGATATCATTTGAGAGCTTACAAACAGGGTTGTCAAACTATTTTATAATTTTTTATTATATATATATTTTACGCCAATTATTAAAACATTTGTTAACTAAGATTGGTCTCATTTTCACATATGAGGTGTTTGTGTTGTGCCAGCCATCTGTTAAAACACAGCATACTCTTGAATACAGGGTGGGTGTCATTTCAATCATAGAAATTGAATTGACATTTTTTATTTCCAATTACAACTAAAATGTTAGCTGCCGGTCGAATGTCAATTTGAATGGGAATGTATATTCTATTATCTACATTTCTATGACTTCAAAAGGTTTCCTAGAGAAGGTTGACAGTTGAATTTAAAACAATGGATATTCCCACTCAAGTCAACATTCTCTGATGTGTGAACCTTCAACCATCTTTGTGGTATCATTTGAAAGTTGGAGGAAAGGAAAAACCCACACTCACTGAAATATTACTTAAGTTTTAACGTCTTATTTTTTAGCAGCAGAGGTCAAAACAAATGTACGTGGTTCGGCGGCAGCCAAATGCAGTGGCGGCTCCTGAAAAAATTCTCAGGGGGGGCAATTTTTCTGATGATTTAGGTGACCTACACACATTTAAAAAAAGATATGTCCAGCAACAACATGAAGACAGGGGCAGCATATAAGTCAATGCCAGAAGCATTTATTGACTGATCTCAAAAGTGTTGGCTTACAAAAGCAAAATAAGTTATCACAGTAAAAATAATCAAGGGTGTTCTTTCACATTCCTCAACACTGCATAAACAATATGCATTTCCATAAACAAATGAAATATCAGCTGAAAATACAGCATCTTGGTATTTGTTCAGATTGCAGGATCAACAAGAGCTTTTACCACATTTTTTGCCTCATGGTTGAATTGGAAATATGTGCACCTGAGCATAATTCACAACAAGCAAGCAGGAGCTTTTGATAGAGGCTACTGAAAACATTGATGCAAGTTATTGGTAATAAGAAATTTTTATAGACTTCCATATTCTGCCCTCTTGTATATATTTGTGAAAATGAACAGTGATAGACATTTTGCCTGAAAACAGAATTTGAAAATAATTTATAGAAAAGGTAAACACAGCTATCTGTATGGCTTTGTAAAAATGAACAACCATATTCTGGCCAATTGTATAGATTTGTAAATATGAACAACCATATTCTGGCCAATTGTATAGATTTGTAAAAATGAACATGAACAGATTATTTTATTTTTTGTACTTTTTTTAAAATGAAAAATAACTATTTTAAACAACATCAACTGTGAACTGATTTGGGCGTGTGTGTGTTAAAGAGACAGACAGGGAGGGACAAAGAGAGAAAGAGGCTACATTACTTGTACTGAAACTGTTCTCTTCTCTCTTTCAATGCAGCAAAGCGGTCAATGACTTTCTCATTGAAATCAGGCATGCTGAGGACTAGTTCCCTCTCCATGGAAAGCATGGCCAGTGCATTCAGACGTTCCTGGCCCATTGAATTTCGCAGGAATGTCTTAACTCGTGTCAAAGTTGAGAAACATCTCTCAGCTTCAGCTGTTGTCATTGGAGTAGTTATGAGGATGTTCAACAGAGTCACAGTCTCAGAGAACGTCTCCTGGAGGTTGTAGCTCATGAGAACCTGGTACAGTGCCAGTGCACCACAGTTTGACTTTCTCGTCGTCGGCAAAAAGACCGTTCAGTCTCTCCAAAAGCACACTGGCGATTGAGACTGAGGTTGATTCCGAGATGGGAAGGAACTCAAAAAAGAGCTCCTGCACTTTGTGGTTGCTATCTATGTACCTCAGCACAAGCACCAGCTGTGTCTGTGTAGAAACGTCCGTGGTCTCGTCAGCTTGGATAGCTACGAAGTTCGCCGACTTCACCTCCTCCACAATATGTTCCCTCATGACCGCTAGCATACACTCCAGTAGCTCGTTTTGAATGGTCTTTGATGTGAACTTCTTTCAAAGAGACAATCGAGTTGCACTGAACGCTAGCCATCTTGATAGTAGTACGTGAATTGATTGACGCTGCTACCCGCTCTTTTCTTAGTTACGTTCATGGTTATGTTACGTATGACGAAAGCGCGTAAGTGCAAGCCCTCAGAAACCCATAGAGATTGTATTGAAAGCTCTGATATTTGAAAAAAAAAGATTTTACATGAGAGTCTATGAGATACTTCTGGGGCGATTTTCAACCTGACTGAAATCGCCCCAAAAGGGGCGGGGCCATTTGAAGCACGACTTTAGCCTGATTGGACATTTAGTGGCAGATCAGACGTCTAGATTAGAACACTGATAACTACTGTTGCCGTGATATAATTGATTAGAAAAAAAATCCCTTCCTTTTCCCGTTTGGCAGTGCGTCGCCCATATCGCCCTAATGAACACACCGCCCCTGGCCAAATGTATTCACATTTAAGTACATTTATCAGCAAAGTCTCAACCGACGGTGGGCACAACACAAACCCCTCTGATGATGTAAAATAGGGTCTAAGCTACAACATAAACATTTACTAAATCTGAGTTTACGCATTTTTTGATAATTGACATTTAATGTAAAAAAATGACAATCTTTTTTTATTTAAATAATCTATACATTATTAAATAGTTTCACAACACTGTTTGTAAACTCTCAAATTATATCAAACGCAACCGTTTATCTTTTTCAGTGATGAAGACATGCATGTCTCATGGTAGAGTTGGGTATGGAAGATCTGCTAAATTAAGTAAATGTAAATGACTGTTCTCAATTAAAATGGTCAAAAAGAAACAAAAATAGCTTCTTAGCAAAGAGCAATTTCTCAAGCAAGAATTTTGCTAGGACTGTCTGGGAGTGGTCTGAGTGGAAAACTGAAAATCCGCTGTTATTGGCAGAGAGGTTTGGAACCCTCTTTCTTATTGGTCTATTAACACATTTACCACCTGGTGATGTCACCATGTAAGGCCTAAACTCCATCCCACCAAAACAGGCTGAAATTTAAGGCAGTCTTTTCAAACAGCTCTTACACTAAAAGGGCAATATCATTTTCACCATTTCACAGTATTGAGTTGCGCAACCCTCCCCTTTTTGCCCTCAGAACAGCCTCAATTCCTTGGGGCATGACTCTACAAGGTGTCGAAAGCGTTCCACAGTTGGCTGGATGTCCTTTGGGTGGTGGACCATTATTGACACACACAGGAAACTGTTGAGCGTGAAAAACTGCAATGTTGCAGTTCTTGACACAAACCGGTGCACCTGGCATCTACTACCATACCCCGTTCAAAGGCACTTAAATCTTTTGTCTTACCCATTCACACTCTGAATGGCACACATACACAATCCATGTCTCAAGGCTTAAAAGTTATTCTTTCAGCTGTCTCCTCCCCTTCATCTACACTGATTGAAGTCGATTTAACAAGTGATCACAGCTTTCACCTGGATTCACCTGGTCAGTATATGTCATGGAAAGACCAGGTGTTCTTAATGTTTTGTACACTCAGTGTCTATAAAACACAGGAAAAATCAAATTTTTGACTGCACTGGGCTTTTAAAGGGTAGACTCCGTGAGATGATGTTGCATGCACAAAGTAAACACGATATCGGGTCATTTTCCGCTACAACTAAGAGCAAGGCTAAACTTCTCCCGTTTTGGTCCTGTAGCTACCACGTTGTAGCAGCGTGAAAAGCACTGTGCACATGCGCAGATTTTCTGTGGGACTGTGTGAGAGCAAAGTCTTCCATCAAGGCTCATCTCAATATCTGCGTTGCTGCTCACTGCAACGTCATTTTGCTGAGTCTACTTTTAATATATTCCATGAGATAACATCATGCTACTAAATACCCATTTGAACTCCTGAAATAGCCTATTTTCTATTTTGATGAATAACAAGGCACAAATTAACACTTATCAGTTAAAACTGCTGACAAATACTGTATGAAAACAAATTCAGACCAGGGTTGGATCAATTCCATTTCCATTGAATTCCAATTCAAAAATGTTACTTGTTACCTTACAATGAGAAAAAAAAAAAATTCAGTTGTTCCTGAATTGACATAATTGAAATGGAATTGACCCCAACCCTGATTCAGACTATTGAAGTGCACCGTGTGTTGCACCACCACTTGACCCTGAGAGACTGAGCACTTCTTCTCACCCAGGAAGGCATCCACCAGGCAGCTGACCCCCCGCATGGCCCTGAAGAAGATCTGGGGCAGCTGCTTGAGGCAGGGGTGCAGCACCACCTCGTGGGGGATGCCGCTCGAGTTGAGGAACTGCTCCTGGAACTTGGGTGTGGTGCTCACCAACGTTGGGTTGCTCAGGTCCACTGGGTTAGTACAGAAACCACAGGGGGGGAACACAGAGGTGAGGAGAGATTGACACACATTAAGAGCCTCACTGACTGACACATACCTGTAGTGGGTGGAGTTGCCAAAGTGCTGGGAGAATAACACGCTGAATGATATTAGCAACTGCTAAATCAGGGTTGTATTCATTAGGACATGAAACTGTCAACGTTATAAACATTTAAAAAATAGCAACATAAATTAAAAATGGTTTCTTACTGGTCCAGTTCCCTTTTTTACATTCAGTTTTCTTCCATTTGGTGCTAAATTAATATGACCCAGTATTGTGGTCAAGAAAGAAGATGAGGAAAGGCCATATAGAGACTGAACAGCATAGCTGCGGGAAGATGTTTACAGGGGGGCTTGCTAAGACTTTTTTTGTCGACAGGGGTGTGGGAGGTGTGGGGGGGGCGGAGATATTTATTTCGCCCCGCGCTGCTGACGGCTATTTTGGTCCGCTCATACAGGAGTAATAAAGGCCCAGTGAACTACTTGTGATAAAACATTTGTTAAAAACATTTTATTCTCATTTATAAAGGGGATGCTGCAGCACCCTCAGCACCCCTACTTCACACAGCTATGCACAACAGCATAATTCTTCTTTACCTTAGAATGTGGAGGAAGCGGAACCAGGTTTGGGCCACACAGTCGTTATCCATCTCTACTGGAATCAGGTTGGCGTCCTCGTCAGGGACTTTAAACGGGGGCAACGAGGGGCCGTGGGTGAACCGCAACAACCTGGGTGGACAAACAACACACACACACGTTAGTATGCCCATTTCCTCCTCTCTGTCATTGTATTTGTAAAGGATCATGCCTGCAAAAAGAAACAGCAGTATCTCTGCATAGTACTTTTGAACCAACTCTACACTACACCATCAGGAGAATGTTCAGAGGTTAGCTACATTACAGGTAAGGTACAATGCCACCCAGTAGTCCAATAGTCAAATTGACTCACTGGATATGCAAATCAGGTGACAAGCTGTCTAGGTAGAAGGTAGCTTTTAGAACAGCTAGCAAGTGGACACCAGAACACCCACACCGTACGCCAGGAGAGTGGAAGGGGAAAAAGCTGCTAAAAATAATACCACTTCCGACTTGCAAGAGAAAAGAGGGCGACCGTAAAATGAAATGGAATAAAGTAGGCTTATACTGTAGTGCTCACCAAATAAAAAGGTTTTTCTACAAACAAATGTAACAGATTTGTACTCTAGATTGTTATTTTATGAGTGTCTAAATAAATACCACACAACACATTTCGACCCTAAGCTCTTCCTCAGGCAGTGGGAAACAACAGAACCCCCTGTGCCATAGCATATGCATCCCCAAACCAAAGTGGGTGATCATCAGGTCACCTGCTAGTGCTCGCTTTCTTTGTAATGATAGCGCAACCAGGCCCCCATAGTCACCTGGAGGTGAGGGCGCTGGCTACCCTGCTCCACTGCTCCACCACGGGCGGGTGGTGCCTCCAGTTGGCCAGCATCTCCCTGACCGTCTTCCAGTAGGGAGGTGTGGGGAAGCAGTGGGCGCACGCCAGGAGCCACACCTCAAACAGCACCGCCATCAGCTTCTCAGCAAGCTTCTCTGCCACGCCCACTGGGCATGGGGACAGGGACGACAGAGGGGCAGAAGGTCAAGGGTCAACAGGATATACAGGATAAACACCAACATAACGTTTCTTAATAGGGCGTTGGGCCACCACGAGCCATATCAGCTTCAATGCACCTTGGCATTGATTCTACAAGAGTCTGGAACTCTATTGGAGGGACGCGACACCACTCTTCGACAAGAAATTCCATAATTTGGTGTTTTGTTGGTGGTGGAAAACTCTCAGGCGCCACTCCAGAATCTCCCATAAGTGTTCAATTGGGGTTGAGATCTGGTGACTGGGACAGCCATGGCATATGGTTTACGCTTTTATGCTCATCAAACCATTCAGTGACCACTCATGCCCTGTGGATGGAAGCATTATCATCCAATGGGGAAATAGCCATGGTAGCCAAAATAATGGCCTACACAGCATTTTTATACATGACCCTAAGCATGGGATGTTAATTGCTTAACTAACTCAGGAACCATACCTGTGTGTACAACTGCAACTGAAAAACTGGGTCGTACTCACTAGACATGAAATAGAAGCAAACATGCTGAAACGGGGATAGACTAAACTTGTCCAAGTCTTGTGAATACCACCCTGGGAAACCCAGGAAGTGATGGTGGGTGGTGAGGGGGCGGGGCTGACCTCCGATGGTGGGCGGGGCCAGCAGGGTGTCGTTGAGGCGGAGCAGGAAGAGCAGCAGCACCTCCCAGGTCTCCCTCACCATGGAGACGGACTCCCTGGCCAGCTTCTGCACCGCCGTCAACACCTGCTGGCACAGCCGGATGTGGCTCAGACGCTCTGGCCTGAGAGAGAGTAAGAGAGATAGAGAAAGTGAGAGAAAGAGATTGTGTGCATAGCCTGAGACAGAGTCTGTGTGCTTGTGTGTGCACGCTCAGCTCAACTGTGGCTGTACCTGGGTAGGAAGACGTTGTAGAGGTGTTTGAGGATGGTCTGGATATACAGGTTGGGCTCCTTCACCACCGGCTGTGGGATGGAGTCCCGTGGCGTCACTAGGGCCATCATCCAGTCCGTGTACACGTCCACACACAGCTTCACCGTGTCCCCTTCCAGTGGAAGAGTAAGGCCGTAGCACAGCACCTCCATGGTCCACTTCACCTGGAACCACAGATCAGAGAGACAGTTATGCCTGATTCACACTTTAGGGCCAAACCGAGCCAAACCAAGCCGACCTGTACTGGCCTGGCTTGGTTACGTATCCACCATAGTTGCTGGAACTGTGCTGGAATAGACAATATGTAAAGAAAATATGCAAGCCAGCAGAGTACGGTTCAGATAGTGTGAATCAGGCATTATAGACTACCCATTTTTACATTTAGATTTGAGTCATTCAGAAGACGCTCTTATCCAGAGCGACTTACAGTTAGTGCATTCATCTTAAGATAGCTAGGTGGGACAACCACATATCACAGGCAAAGTAAGAACACTTTTCCTCAATAAAGTAGCTATCAGCAAAGTCAGAGCTAGAAGGGGGGGGTCCAAGTGCAAGTGTTGGTTCAGGAGAGGTTAGGATGGGTATTATTTAATATACTCTTTGAAGAGGTAGGTTTCAGGTGCTTGGGCAATAACTCTGCTGTCCTAGTTTAAGGGGGAAGCTGGTTCCATCATTGGAGTGCCAGGACAGAGAAGAGCTTGGACTGGGCTGAGCGGGTGCCAGTGGAGTGTGCGAAGGAGCGGGGTGTCATGGGAGAACTTGGGAAGGTTGAAAACCAGGCGGGCTGCAGCATTCTGGATAAGTTGCAGGGGTTTGATGGCACAAGCGGGGAGCCAGGCCAACAGTGCGTTGCAGAAGTCCAGACGGGAGATGAAAAGTGCCTGGATAAGGACCTGCGCCGCTTCCTGTGTGAGGTAGGGTCGTATTCTACGGATGTTGTAGAGCATGAACCTGCAGGAGCGAGTCACTGCTTTGATATTTGCAGAGAATGACAGGGTGTTGTCCAGGGTGACGCCAAAGGTTCTTTGCACTCTGGGAGGGTGACACTGGAGTTGTCAACTGTGATGGAGAGGTCTTTGCGCAGGAAGGCCTTTCCCGGGAGGAAGAGCAGCTCTGCCTTGTCGATGTTGAGGTGATGGGTGGACATCCAAGTTGAGATATCTGCCAGGCACGCAGAGATGCGTGTTGCCACCTGGGTGTCAGAAGGTGGGAAGGAAAAAAGTAGTTGAGTGTCATCCGCATAGCAATGATAGGAGAGACCATGTGAGGATATGACGGAGCCGAGGGACTTTGTGTATAGAGAGAAGAGGAGAGGGCCTAGAACCGAGCCCTGGGGGACACCAGTAGTGAGAGTATGTGGTACAGACACAGATCCTCTCCACGTCACCTGGTAGGCGCGGCCTGTAGGATGCAATCCAAGAGTGTGCAGAGCTTGAGACGCCCAACCCTTTTCACGCGGTTGTGCTGAGCCGAACCGTACTGTGCTGGCTCAGATATTTTCTTCTCACAGGGTCCTCTCCAGAACAGTTCCAGCAACTGTGGTGGATGTGTAACTAGCAACGTGAATGCCCCGCCTACCTGAGGATCTGTCTTCTTCAGCAATATATTTCCTGTGTTTGAGGGGTACAAAATCCACTTGTCACTTAAATCTCTCTGGATTGATTGCTTTAATTTGACTCTTGCGACTCTTTCGCGCTTATGCCTGTCATTTTCCCCCCTTTAACATTACGACCGCGGAAACATTTGTAATGACCTGTCAAAAACACCCCGGTAATGGCTGAAATGGGCTCAACGGAATACATTGTCTTTCCGTTGTACCTACACTGAACAAAGATAAACGCAACATGCAACAATTTCAAAGATTTTACTGAGTTACAGTTCATATAAGGAAATCAGTCAATTGAAATAAATTTATTAGGACCTAATCTATGGATTTCACATGACTGGGAATATAGATTTGCATCTTTTGGTCACAGATACAGTGCATTCGGAAAGTACTCAGACCAATTCCCTTGATCCAGATTTTGTTACGTTACAGCCTTATTCTAAAATTGATTAAATATGTATTTTTTCTCAATCTACACACAATACACCATAATGACAAAGCAAAACAGGTTTTTCGAATTTTTTGCAAATGTATTAAACATTACATAAGTATTCAGACACTTTGCTGAGACTCGAAATTGAGCTCAGGTGCATCCTGTTTCTATTGATCATCCTTGAGATGTTTCTACAACTTGATTGAAGTCCACCTGTGGTAAATTCAATTGATTGTATTCAATTGATATATAAGGTCCCACAGTTGACAGTGCATGTCAGAGCAAAAACCAAGCAATGACGTCGAAGGAATTGTCCGTAGAGCTCCAAAACAGGATTGTGTCGAGGCACAGATCTGGGGAAGGGTACCAAAACATTTCTGCAGCATTGAAGGTCCCCAAGAACACAGTGGCCTCCATCATTCTTAAATGGAAGAAGTTTGACAGAGCTCCAGAGTTCCTCTGTGGAGATGGGAGAACCTTCCAGAAGGACAACCATCTCTGTAGCACTCCACCAATCAGCCACTCCTCAGTAAAAGGCACATGACAGCCCACTTGGAGTTTGCCAAAAGGCACCTAAAGGACTCCCAGACCATGAGAAACAAGATTCTTTAGTCTGATGAAATCAAGATTGAACTGTTTGGCCTGAATGCCAGGCGTCACATCTGGAGGAAATCTGGCACCATCCCTACGGTGAAGCATGGCAGCATCATGCTGTGGGGATGTTTTTCAGCGGCAGGGACTGGGAGACTAGTCAGGATCGAGGGAAAGATGAACGCAGCAAAGTACAGAGATCCTTGATGAAAAGCTGCTCCAGAGCGCTCAGGACCTCAGACTGGGGCGAAGGTTCACCTTCCAACAGGACAACAACACTAAGCACACAGCCAAGACAACACAGGACTTGGCTTCGGGACAAGTCTCTGAATGTCCTTGAGTGGCCCAACCAGAGCCCGGACTCGAACCCGATCGAACATCTCTGGAGAGACCTGAAAATAGCTGTGCAGCGACGCTCCCCATCCAACCTGACAGAGCTTGAGAGGATCTACAGAGAAGAATAGGAGAAACTCCCCAACTACAGGTGTGCCAAGCTTGTAGCGTCATACCCAAGAAGACTCGAGGCTGTAATCGCTGCCAAAGGTGCTTCAACAAAGTACTGAGTAAAGGGTCTGAATAATTATGTAAATGTAAGATTTCAGTTTATTTGTAATAATTGTGCAAACATTTATAAAAAACCTGTTTTTGCTTCGTCATTATCGGGTATTGTGTGTAGATTGAGGTAAAAATACAAATTAATCAATTTTAGAATAAGGCTGTAACGTAACAAAGTGGAAAAGGTCAAGGGGTCTGAATACTTTCTGAATGCATTGTACCTTAAAGAAAAAGTAGGGCTAGGATCAGAAAACCAGTCAGTATCTGGTGTGACCACCATTTGCCTCATGCAGCGCGACACATCTCCTTTGCATAGAGTTGATCCGGCTGTTGATTGGGGCCTGTGGATTGTTGTCCCACTCCTCTTCAATGGCTGTGCGAAGTTGCTCGATATTGGCAGGAACTGGAACACGCTGTCGTACATGTCTTTCCAGAGCATCCCAAACATGCTCAATGGGTGACATGTCTGGTGAGTATGCAGGCCATGGAAGAATTGTGACATTTTCAGCTTCCTGGAACAGTGTAAAGATCCTTGCAACATGGGGCCGTGCATTATGCTGAAACATGAGATGATGGTGGCAGATGAATGGCACGACAATGTGCCTCAGGATCTTGTCACGGTATCTCTGTGCATTCAAATTGCCATCGATAAAATGCAATTGTGTTCGTTGTCTGTAGCTTACGCCTGCCCATTACAGTTGAAACAGGGAATCCCTGAATTCCCACCAAAATCCCTTAACTCCATTCATTTTTTGTCCATGCCAGTAAAATATTTTATGTGCTTTAATTCAGTCAATCTGATGGATTATAAACATTCTAAAAGTTTGGAGTATCTTCATTCATTGACCAACTGTTTCATTTATTAGAATTGTTTAAAAAAGATTTTAACCATTTCGATTACGGTTGCTAGTGTAACCTAAGCCAGTACACCTTGGCTCAGCTCTGTAGTGTGAAATGGGCACTAGGCATCTACTCATAACTCGTCTGTCTGAACCACTTGACACTGCTAATGTGACAATTGGGGCAAAAAACTGTTTCTGCATTCAACAAAGCTACAATAGCAAGGCAACAACTCACTGGGCACAGACGTCAGTTCAACGTCTAGTTTTGATTTACATTTGGTTGAGTTGACAACTAACGTGAAATTAACAAAACATTTCACCATGTCATTGGATTTAGGTTAAAAGTTGGGTGAAAAAATTTCGACATGCCCTTATGTTGATGACTTTTTGCAAATCCAATTAGTTTCCCACGTTGATTCAACGTCATCACATTTTGGGTTGAAACAATGTTGATTCAACCAGTTTTTGCCCAGTGGGAAGTCTGCTGAGGCAGATAGACTGGCACACAGGCTAGCCTCATACAGACAGGCCCCACTAACTCCATCCCACATCAATGACAATGCTCTCTGTCCCACCCTCACCTCTTTGTCCGTCTTGAGGATGTTCTCTGTGGCCACAGGGATGATGGCTGTCCCCAGGGGTTTGGCCACTGCATTCGCCACCTCCAGCCCCACACCTCCAGGGTACGTGTGCAGGACACTGAGGTGGCCCTGGTCACTCTGAACCACCAGCTGCAGCGTGCGCCACTCAGAGTACATGGTGGTGCCGCTCCACTCTACTGTTTCCACCAGCCTCCACAATGGGGATACACATACAGCTCATTAGCTTCCTGGTATGGTGAAGACTTTGCATGACTGTCAATATACACTGCTCAAAAAAATAAAGGGAACACTTAAACAATACATCCTAGATCTGAATGAATGAAATAATCTAATTAAATACTTTTTTCTTTACATAGTTGAATGTGCTGACAACAAAATCACACAAAAATTATCAATGGAAATCAAATGTATCAACCCATGGAGGTCTGGATTTGGATTCACCCTCAAAATTAAAGTGGAAAACCACACTACAGGCTGATCCAACTTTGATGTAATGTCCTTAAAACAAGTCAAAATGAGGCTCAGTAGTGTGTGTGGCCTCCACGTGCCTGTATGACCTCCCTACAATGCCTGGGCATGCTCCTGATGAGGTGCCGGATGGTCTCCTGAGGGATCTCCTCCCAGGCCTGGACTAAAGCATCCGCCAACTCCTGGACAGTCTGTGGTGCAACGTGGCGTTGGTGGATGGAGCGAGACATGATGTCCCAGATGTGCTCAATTGGATTCAGGTCTGGGGAACGGGCGGGCCAGTCCATAGCATCAATGCCTTCCTCTTGCAGGAACTGCTGACACACTCCAGCCACATGAGGTCTAGCATTGCCTTGCATTAGGAGGAACCCAGGGCCAACCGCATCAGCATATGGTCTCACAAGGGGTCTGAGGATCTCATCTCTGTACCTAATGGCAGTCAGGCTACCTCTGGCGAGCACATGGAGGGCTGTGCAGCCCCCCAAAGAAATGCCACCCCACACCATGACAGACCCACCGCCAAACTGGTCATGCTGGAGGATGTTGCAGGCAGCAGAACGTTCTCCACGGCGTCTCCACTCTGTCACGTCTGTCACATGTGCTCAGTGTGAACCTGCTTTCATCTGTGAAGAGCACATGGTGCCAGTGGCGAATTTGCCAAACTTGTTATTCTCTGGCAAATGCCAAACGTCCTGCACGGTGTTGGGCTGTAAGCACAACCCCCACCTGTGGACGTCGGGCCCTCATACCACCCTCATGGAGTCTGTTTCTGACCGTTTGAGCAGACACATGCACATTTGTGGCCTGCTGGAGGTCATTTTGCAGGGCTCTGGCAGTGCTCCTCCTGCTCCTCCTTGCACAAAGGCGGAGGTAGCGGTCCTGCTGCTGGGTTGTTGCCCTCCTACGGCCTCCTCCACGTCTCCTGATGTACTGGCCTGTCTCCTGGTAGCGCCTCCATGCTCTGGACACTACACTGACAGACACAGCAAACCTTCTTGCCACAGCTCGCATTGATGTGCCATCCTGGATGAGCTGCACTACCTGAGCCACTTGTGTGGGTTGTAGACTCGTCTCATGCTACCACTAGAGTGAAAGCCCCGCCAGCATTCAAAAGTGACCAAAACATCAGCCAGGAAGCATAGGAACTGAGATGTGGTCTGTGGTCACCACCTGCAGAACCACTTCTTTATTGGGGGTGTCTTGCTAATTGCCTATAATTTCCACCTGTTGTCTATTCCATTTGCACAACAGCATGTGAAATGTATTGTCAATCAGTGTTGCTTCCTAAGTGGACAGTTTGATTTCACAGAAGTGTGATTGACTTGGAGTTACATTGTGTTGTTTAAGTGTTCCCTTTATTTTTTTGAGCAGTGTACATACTCATAGCTATTATCATGGAGCATAACTAGCTACCAGCAACATAAGACCAAACTTAGCTAGCTAGTTAAACAAATAACATAGCTAGGTCATCAACATAACTAGCTACGTTAGTTAAATACCTAGCTAGTAACCTTACTAGCTAGCTTAATGTAGCTACTTGAAACGTTATGGAAACACAGCTTGTTTGCTAACGTTAGTTAACATGAGCTAACCCCGTAGCTACTTAGCTACTGTACTAGCTAGAAGCATCTGCAACGCTAGCTAAAGTTCATTTAGCTATATTTTATTGAAAGAGCATCAGTAGCTAGCTGTCGTTAGCTAATAACATTAGCTCGCTGCCTGTACAGCAAGCTAACAGAAGCTAGGTTACGTTATTGCTTGGGAAATTGAAGCAAGTTTTTCAGAAATGTAGTATTTACCTGCTCCAAGCAAAATGGTTTTCATAACAAGGTGACGTGTCCTCACAACACAAGTTATCCCAATATAGGCATTCTCCCACAATGTCAACGCTGAGAGGACTCTGTGGTGCTGCTCTGGCTAGCTACCCCGAATCAAGTCATGATGCAAAGCCTTCAGCTGACTGCTGTCATTGGCAACGGGATGTGGAAGACAACAGTGGTTTCAGCCCTGTTCCACCCCTTTATGTTAATGTTTTCATATGTCTAAATACATCCTGTGTAAATATGCAAATTGGGCACATATAATTTTCTTTATTTTAACACAATATATTTTAATTACCAGATACAATAACAAAATGTATATGACTGCGTTCTAAGAAAATCCCTGAACTCCATTCATTATTTGTCGATGCCAGTAAAATATTGCTATTATTCAGTCAATCTGATGGATTATAAAAATTCTACAAATTTGGAGTATCTTCATTCATTGTGCAACTGTTTCATTTATTAGAACTGTTTTTCAAAGATTTTAACAATTTCGATGACAGTTGCTAGTGTAACCTAAGCCAGTACAGCACAGCTTGGCTCAGTTAGGTATGTAGTGTGAAATGGGCATTAGGCATCTACTCATAACTAGTCTGTCTGAACCACTTGACACTCCTAATGTGACAATTGGGGCAAATACATTTTAACTGTTTCTGCATTCAACAAAGCTACAATGGTGCAAGGCAACAACAACCCACTGGGCACAGACGTCAGTTCAACGTCTAGTTTTGATTTCTATTTGGTTGAGTTGTCAGCTAACATGAATTCCATGTGAAATCAACAAAACATTTCACCATGTCATGGATTTAGGTGAAAAGTTGGGTGAAAAAAGATGACATGTCCTTCCAAAGATGACATGTCCTTCCATTGATGACTAGATCCAAACTGTTACAGACCTATATCCATCCTGCCCTGCCTTTCGAAAGTATTTGAAAGCCAAGTTAACAAACAGATCACTGACCATTTCGAATTCCACCGTACCTTCTCCGCTATGCAATCCGGTTTCCGAGCTGGTCATGGGTGCACTTCAGCCACGCTCAAGGTCCTAAACGATATTATAACCGCGATCGATTATAGACAGTACTGTGCAGCTGTCTTCATCGACCTGGCCAAGGCTTTCGACTCTGTCAACCACCGCATTCTTATTGGCAGACTAAATAGCCTTGGTTTCTCAAATTACTGGCTCGCCTGGTTCACCAACTACTTCTCAGATAGAGTTCAATGTGTCAAATCGGAGGGCCTGTTGTCTGGACCTATGGCAGTCTCTATGGGGGTGCCACAGGGTTCAATTCTTGGGCCGACTCTTTTCTCCGTGTATATCAATGATGTCGCTCTTGCTGCTGGTTACTCTCAGATCCACCTCTATTTCAAGGAACGGGACTCTAACCCGGACGCTTATAAGAAATCCCGCTATGACCTCCGACGAACCATCAAACAGGCAAAGAGTCAATACAGGACTAAGATTGAATCGTACTACACTGGCTCTGACGCTCGTCGGATGTGGCAGGGCTTGAAAACTATTACAGACTACAAAGGGAAGCACAGCCGCGAGCTGCCCAGTGACACAAGCCTACCAGACGAGCTAAACCACTTCTATGCTCGCTTCGAGGCAAGCAACACTGAAGCATGCATGAGAGCACCAGCTGTTCCGGACGACTATGTGATCACGCTCTCCGTAGCCGATGTGAGTAAGACTTTTAAGCAGGTCAACATTCACAAGGCCGCAGGGCCAGACGGATTACCAGGACGTGTACTCCGAGCATGTGCTGACCAACTGGCAAGTGTCTTCACTGACATTTTCAACATGTCCCTGACTGAGTCTGTAATACCAACATGTTTCAAGCAGACCACCATAGTCCCCGTGCCCAAGGACTCTAAGATAACCTGCCTAAATGACTACCGACCCGTAGCACTGACGTCTGTAGCCATGAAGTGCTTTGAAAGGCTGGTCATGGCTCACATCAACAGCATTAACCCAGAAACCCTAGACCCACTCCAATTTGCATACCGCCCCAACAGATCCACAGATGATGCAATCTCTATTGCACTCCACACTGCCCTTTCCCACCTGGACAAGAGGAACACCTACGTGAGAATGCTATTCATTGACTACAGCTCAGCATTCAACACCATAGTGCCCTCTAAGCTCATCACTAAGCTAAGGATCCTGGGACTAAACACCTCCCTCTGCAACTGGATCCTGGACTTCCTGACGGGCCGCCCCCAGGTGGTAAGGGTAGGTAACAACACATCTGCCACACTGATCCTCAACAATGGGGCCCCTCAGGGGTGCGTGCTCAGTCCCCTCCTGTACTCTCTGTTCACCTATGACTGCATGGCCAGGCACGACTCCAACACCATCATTAAGTTTGCCGACGACACAACAGTGGTAGGCCTGATCACCGACAACGATGAGACATCCTATAGGGAGGAGGTCAGAGACCTGGCCGTGTGGTGCCAGGACAACAACCTCTCCCTCAACGTGACCAAGACAAAGGAGATGATTGTGGACTACAGGAAAAAAAAGAGGACTGAGCACGCCCCCATTCTCATCGACGGGGCTGTAGTAGAACAGGTTGAGAGCTTCAAGTTCCTTGGTGTCCACATCACCAACGAACTATCATGGTCCAAACACACCAAGACAGTCGTGAAGAGGGCACGACAAAGCCTATTCCCCCTCAGGAGACTGAAAAGATTTGGCATGGGTCCTCAGATCCTCAAAAAATTCTACAGCTGCACCATCGAGAGCATCCTGACTGGTTGCATCACCGCCTGGTATGGCAACTGCTTGGCCTCCGACCGCAAGGCACTACAGAGGGTAGTGCGTACGGCCCAGTACATCACTGGGGCCAAGCTTCCTGCCAT